GCACTTTCCTTCTGCAGGAGAGTCTCCCTTGGGCCTCCAGCAGATGCCCACCACTCCCCAGGTTACTTCTTTGGGGGCGGCAGTTTGTGGCCATCAGGACTAAAAAGCAGACATTTGGGAGTTGGTTTTATTCCTTTTGTTAACCGCTTCTGGCACCTAAAGCATCTCAGAGTGGTATCTTTTGCTGGGTCCAGATGTGTCTGGGTGGGGAAAGAGGGCTGACAGCTTCTCACAGCAGAGGAAGGATTGGAGCCTAGGCAAAGCCCTGGATCCAAATTTCTCAGAAAATCTGCCTTCAAACTTTGATTCTACCCCTTACAAGCTGTGTGACCCCAAGCAAGTCACTGAAATCTCTCTGGCCCTCACTGTCCTCATCTGTAAAATAGGGATAATACCGTCAATCCTACAGGGGTGTCCTGGAGATTAATGCTTTACAGAAGTATCTAAAACAGGGCTACTCAACAATTCAGTTCAACAACCTATGTGCCAGGCTCCAGACTAGATGCTGGGGATACAAAGATGAATATACTACTAGCTGTCTTCAAATTGTTCACAGTGTAAAAAAATGTTGTTAGGAGGAATTCATTTTCTTTCTTCCTTACCTTAGCCTTCTTTTATGATGGCAGTAGGAATTTCAGAACTCTCTGGCTCTCAAGAGAGATCACGCTGATAGGGTAGTAGTTATGTTTATATCCTTGACTGTCAAACTCAGGGAGATAGGAAGGTTACTAAAATGTTATGAGGAAAATATCCCTTTTACACTTTCAAGTTATTGTCTAAGCCTAGCCAGAAGGTGTTTCCACGGTAAAAGCTTAAAGTAAGCCATGGAAAAACTCATCCTCTCTCCCTCTGTACTACCCTCACCTTGTCTGAATTTACATTCCAGTTGAAAAGACTGATCACAAAGGATCAGTTCCCAGTTTAGCTACCTTAGTGACCAAAATCAGGCTCACCTCCTGATTTGAAGATCAGTTTCTGCTCTAAAAACAAAAGGGCTTCCCAGAAAAATACTAGCTAGGTTTATAAGCAGAGACTGGTATATAATAAGTAGGGTAGAAATGTAGGAGATCTCAAAATGTTTTAGTACCAAGTCCATCCTTCCCTTGGAGCAATTCCACAAGTCACCAAAAATATTGTTCATTTTAGAACAGAGTGGAAGAAAGACTTTGCTAAGGGCCAGTTGTGTAAATTTTCAATATGAATTTTAAGCAGGATTATACACCCCCAAGAACATTATGCTATTTTTAACTAATAGGTAGGATTGCTGTGTCCACAACAGTTTGAAGCAATCAGGACTGAAACTATTAAACAGCAACTCTCACTGTGGTACCTTGTCATTTGGCACTTCTATTTCTATTTTCACATCTTCCAAGGCTTCATCATGAAACACTTGTAATGCACCCATGCTGGGCACAACACAAAGCTCAAATAGAAAAACATGATTCCCATGCTTTATTATGGTTTAGTCATATTGAGCAAGCCAGATATGTGAAAGAATCCCAAGGTTAGAGCACTCTCCGCCCCACTCAGCCCGAGTGTCCAGAGGAAAGACACTAGGAAGCACCTGTCCTAAACCTACCTAACTCTTCTAATGCTTGCTGAATTTGTGTATGTAGTAAAAGGAGAGGGGTCATCTGTGGTGTTGGAGGAACAACTCTGCATGCCTGAACTAGAGACCTGAATGGGGCAATTGGATGCTATGTGACTTATATCTCATTAAAGATGTTTATAGGAGGGCGAATATGGTGGGTATACTTTGTATACATGTACGAAAATCTAACAATGAAACCTGTTGAAATTGTTCTAAGAAGGAGGAATGAGGGAGAATGATGGAGGGGGTGAATCTAATTAAGATACATTGTAAGTACATATGTAAGTATCACCATGAACATCCCTGTATAACTAATACATGCTAATAAAAATATTTTTTTAAAAAAAGATGTTTATAAAAGCACAAAAAAGCTCTTACTCTGATTATTCTAATCAGTCAAAGTTATTTTTAAGCTCTCATGCTGAAGACTATCTAGCCAAAGTCTGCACTAGTTTGGCAATGGCGCCTGTATATAGTCTCTTCCCTTTGGTATACATCTTTCTTTCCCACATTCCCTCTCTAGTCTCTGTTCTCTGTTGTTTTTCCACTCTGAACTAGGACTTAGGTCTCTCAGTTGTTACAACCACAGTGTGTGCTGTCTGGTGGACCACAGGAAAGCTGCTGCCCCTGGCAACTTTCCCTTCATGACCTGACTCAAGTCACATTCTGGCTCTCCTGATGTCTGCACATCAGGGGTTGGACTATGTGATCCTTCCCAGCTCTCAGTCTATGTGAAAAATCCAAATGATGAACACTGACTTGCCCAATAACATGCAAAGTCTCTGCCATTTTTGCCACTATATATTTGGATTATTCATTTTATAACTATCCACCATGATGAAATCCTCCAAAGAACCATATTTAATATATTTATAAAATGATCAACGTCCTTATCTTTTTTAAGAAAGTACTTAAAGAAAATTCAAAGGCCAGTGCAGAATGCTTGATGGTTCCTTTAAACCAGTCTCTAAGGGTCCATTTTCAAATGAGGGGAAAAAAAAAAAAAAACCAGGGCTCAAGGAGTGACTCAAGTGGTACAGCGCCTGCCTGCCTAGCAAGCATGAGGCCCTGAGTTCAAACCCCAGTACTGCCAAACATACAAACAAGCTTTACCCTGTTGGGACCCCGCTGGATTTAGCAAACCAAACAAAAACTAAGATTAGGGCCTTATAAGTGATTCAACTAAATCCTGAGAAAAGAAAGGCTTTGTGTGGTAAGTGGTAGAAAGATCTGATAACACCTCACCCTACATTATGAATCCTAGAAATATGCTCAGAGAGCAATAAACACTGCAGGAATTCCTTTACCCTGGACAACTTGCAGCTTTTTATGCAAACCAGTTGCATTCCCTCAACAAAAGTCATAGAAATATGTAGTCACCAGTATCCAACATACCACCACCAAACAGACTCACAGTATTGTTTCCATGTGCCCAACATCAGAGAGCAAAACCGAAAGAAACATCAATTTCACACACACACACACACACACACACACACACACAAAAACCATTTCCTTTGCAGAACCTGCGCTAAGTTGTGGGTATGGAAAGGATAAATATTAGTTGCTAATAAAAGTCCGACGGCCAACTCTCCATTGAGAAGCAAACCACACACGCATAAATCCTAAAAACAATAACCCTAAGGTGCGTTCCTTGTCAGGGAGCTGAACGCCAAACACGGAGAGAAATGACTCAAAGTGTCCATTTGCATCTTTCTTTCCCATTACCTCAGACCCACAAGCTCTCCTGTCCTCATCAGAAAAGCCTCGTGCAAAAGGTGGCAGGCCTTCTTCAGTCCTTCGGGCTCAGGGGGAGGGGGCGGAAAGGACAAAGATGGGCGCTTTCGAGCCCTCTCGGCTTCGTCACCCGGCTCCCTGCCTCTCCCTTTCTCCTGGCGGAACTAGAGCACCTGCCAGATACAGGTCCCTTCCTCCACCCGCGGGGCCTGGGCGTCCAAGGAGCCCAGGCGCTGCAGCCCTAAGGGACAAAGGCCAGGCTTACAAAGGGGAGGGGAGGTGAAAGAAGTTGGGCACAGAATGAAGCCCTTACGAACAAAAGGGAGGGGGGCATGAGAATCCCAAGCCACTTGGAGTGTTCCCCGAGGTTAAGTGGAGAAATGCGCGTGGGGGGGAGGGGGGATTTAGAAAATTCCTTTGGGAAAAGGGATCTGGGATCTGCTGGGGCGTAGCAGCCGGCAGGAAGGAGGCTGCAGGCAGTATTGAGGCTCTGGGGCGCGAAGGGGGCACAGTTCGTGGGTAAGGAGAGGTGATGGCAATGAAATGAAGACCAGACAGGGCCCAGTGGACAGAGCAGTCCTGCGCAGCGCTGCCTGGGGCCGGAGGGGATCTGACTCTGGAAAGGATCGGAAGGGGGCTGGGGGCACGCGACGAAGGCATTCGAGGGAGAGGGCAGAGTTGGGGGCGCAATGCTGGAAAAGGGGCTGAGAACAGAACCATAGAGTGGCTAGGGGGGACTGTAAGGGGGACTGACCCCCGTCGGCCCGACCTCACCTGACGCCGGGTCGGAGTCCAGGTCTAGTGCTGAGAAAGCGCCAGCTCCAGCCAGTCCCTCCGGCCCGCGCGGGAGACCACGGACACAAAGCGGGGCGCGGGGGAGGAGGGGAGGAGGGAGGAGGAGGGGGAGGGGAGAGAGAGGAGGAGACGCCGGAGGCCCGCGAGGGGGGGGAGGGGCGCCCGCCGCCCTCCGCCTGGGTCAGGGGGCGGGGCGTGAGGCTGGAGGCCACACTTAGCCGGCCAATAGCCACCCCGCCGGCCGGCCGACTTGGGCGCGCCTTCCAGCAGCTCACCTCAGCACCTGGGCCTTGGCTGGCCTCAGCCAATCAAATGCATTTATTTGCATAACAGGCCCCGCCCAGTCGCCCCAGCCTGGGGACTGCTTTCCGCGAATACAAAGAAAACCCCCCGCAGGGGGATGGGGTCCACTCCAGGTCCCCTAGTGCCAGGACATAGTATCACCTTTTCAACATGTGCTATGGTCTCTCACAGTTCTCTTGATGAGGGAGAAGATTGGGGGTCATGGAGATTTGATCCCTCTCCTCCTCTCCGAGTTCCCTCTTTCTAACCGAGCACTGCTCTTCTATTCCAGGGCACACAGTTCCCGGTCTTCGCTTGGGAGCCGTCTGCCTCCCCACCCCTTTTCCCAATCTCCCTAATCTCTGTGCTTCTTCTCGCGGGCTGTTGCCCACTACTGGCTTTCTGCAGCACTGCAGCCCTCATCAGCAAGCTCTGAGCACAGCTCGGATGGATGCTCCCAAGCCAAACAATGCAGAGATGAAGAGGTCACTGCATTGGGGTAGCAAGGACCTGGCTAGGTGACTCTGTTACCTATGATGGCAAGAAGCCAATACACCTTCCCCCATATCATCTCTCCCTCCTTCCCTTCTCCTACCTTCTGGTCTGTACTGGGCCACAATGGTGACTGACTGGCCCGCGCGTTTCAGAGCAGCTGCAGCCTGCTCATGAGTTGCATTCCTCAGGTTCACTCCATTCACCTGACCAAAGAGAGGAGCTATGAGCCACCCAAAAGCAAGGAAGGAGTCCTCTTGTCACAGCAGTTAGGCGAGGGAAAGAGGTAGTCCATCCTCTAAGCCTATTTGGATATGTTTCCCAAAATTCCATTCTTGCCCCCCGAAATGAGACCTAAGAATCTCTAGTGTAATAATTATCTTTGTGGAAGCAAATGTCAATCAGGGTTAAGATTCAAGGAACATCGATTTCCTCGTTAAGGAGGAGGTCTGGTCTTGGCACGTTGTCCCTCAGTAAAGAAGACAATTTAAGTTTTCTCCAGTTCTTAGCCCTTCTCTCATCTCAAGAAATATTCCTTGGAGGAAACAAGGACTCCCCCCCTCCCTTTTCCACTGGCGCAGATTCCATCCTCCCACCTCGCCTTTGTCTCACCGATAAGATCCGGTCTCCCCTGCGCAGCTCCCCACTCAGGTCTGCTGGGCCTCCTGCCAGGATGAAGGAGACAAAAATGCCTTCTCCATCCTCTCCTCCTACGATGTTGAAGCCCAGGCCTGTGGAGCCTTTGTGCAGGATGATCTTGCGGGGCTCTCTGATGGGAAAGGAGCGGAGATATGACAAGAGAGGTCAGGACAAAGAGTGACGGGAGCTGTTGTCCCTGTGATGGCCAGCCTCGAACACCACCCATACTTGCTATATAGGAAGTAAGGAGCTGGGTCCCTGTGTGATACCCTGTTCCTCCCTTCTTCTCTGGAAACCTGCTTGGCTGCTGTTTTGTGTCAGGTGCCAAGTTTCGGTTCCTCTTCCCTCCTTCTTCCTAAGGTCCTGGAGTCAACTTCCCAGTGGACAGTCCACGGCTCTCTCAGATCAACAAAGCCCTAGCCTGAACTCTAGAGCCCAATTTTCAGAACCCACTCACTGGTCCTCTTCCTCCCCAGAATCTCCTATTCTCTCAACTGGTGTGACCAACCCTAGGTCACAAAAAGAGGAACCAGTTAAGGGCAGTGAACCACCACCCCTCACCTTCCAAAGATGTACAACTGCTCCTGTGCAGTCTCAAAATTCCACCCACCAACTCCGACCCTCCCATCTTCCCCAACAAGTATTTAGTCAACAGCTACCACTGTGTAGCCCTGCTAGGTGATGTAGGGGACAGATATAAAGAAATTGCAGGTCCCCAAAAGGTGGTTAGGAGCTGACCTGAAGAGAGGAGACAAGCACATGAAAAATCCGACTAAAACTAACCACATCCAAAGAACCTGTCTCTAAATGGTCAGTGTCAGCAGGTGAGAGCAAGCAGCCCCATGTGGACAGCAGCACACCCGGAGTCCCAGCACAGTCTCCAGGCCCACCGCCTTTACTTGTTCTAAGCATCTTTCCTCTGAGGAGCCCCAAGTCCTAAGGCAGACTCCTCCTCTCTCGCTGCCAGTCTCTGGCGAGGCTCCCTACCTGGCATCCCCTCCAGGCCGCAGGGAGCGGAGCGGCCAGGCCCACCTCTGCGAAGCCCTCCTCCAGGCCGAGGCGGAGGCCGACCCCAAGCCCAGGGCCAAGCCCGAGCCTGAGAATTTGCAGGCCCTCTCCATGGCTCCTCTGGCTCTCCCCCTCCAGCCTACCCTTCCGGCTCCACCGCAGCCTGCCCAGCAGCTTCCCAGGCCCCACCCCGCAAACCTGTCCCCCGGAACCCCGGCCGGCCTGACCAGTTCCACGGCCAGGCCCGCCGCCACGATGGGGCGGGGCTGTTCCCGCCCCCCCCGCGGCCCCCGGGCCGGCCAGTCTCTCACAGTCCTGCCAACCCCACCGGCTGAACCGCTTTTCAGTAATTCAGAATGGCTACAGCACTGGGTGCTGCAAGTGTCTCAGGGCAGGAAACCCCGCGGCCCACCCCACCCTGGATGTGCACTTTCGGATCCGGGCCATTTGCTCGGCACTCCCCCTGATGGTGAAACTTGTCTTCGCAGCCAACTCTGTCCCCCCCTGGAGTCCCAAAGGACTGAGAGAGGGCCCCAGACCTCCCAGCTGGGAATGACGAGGGTCTGATCCTCTTCTCTGCCATACTAAAAGGAGACCTGTCGCTGGTCAGAAACGGGATTCTTCTCCCTTCCCAAACCCCACCCCGGATCCGTCGAATGGGGTGAGGATCTTACCTGGTGAAGTCCTCCTCAGCAAGCATGTGCCTGGGGATAGGAGAGTAGCGGGTGGGGGGCACCTGAGGAGGAGCAGGGTAGCTGACCTTACTCTCCACTGCCCCAAGATAACCCAGGCTGGAATTATGGCTTATGTGGTTGTCAGCCAAGGCAGTAAAAGCTGAAATCAAGAAAGGGAGAGGAAAGTTCAGACATTCCACGTAGGTACCTATCCCACTCCCCTTCAATGACTTTCCCCCACACCCCAGTGGAAGCCAAAAGAGACCAAGGGATGCTGATTCCTCAGGCCGCACCTCCCCACTCCATCCACGCCTCCCCCAGGGTTCCTCCTCCGCAGTCCCTTTCTAAATCCTAGGCTCACTCCTGTGACTCTTAGAAAGAGCTGAAGTCAAGGCAGTCTACAAAGAAAGGCATGACTAGAGGGGTGACTAATAATAATCCCTCACATCTCTGTAGCTTAATACAGTTTTCCAAGGGCTTTCTCGTCCATGATTTCATTTGATCCTTGCACCAGTCCTATGAGGAAGGCAGCATATACATCATTACCTCCTTTGGGCCAAAGAGGAAAACTAAAGAAATAAAAGGGACTTGTCCAAGGGCACCTAGCTCCAAGGGACAGAGCTGGGATCTGGATTCAGTTATGAGCACTATCTTTTGCACTTGTTTTATTAACAGCTTCCCTTCTGGAAACCAGGGAACAAAACTTCAGGTCAGGGACAGGGGCCAATAATAGGTACGTACTGCTGGCGTAGTCAGGGGGAGCATACATGTCGTTGAGGTGGAGGCTGCCCGGCTTGGCCACCTTTAGATAGACCATATCTGATGTATTCTTCAGTGACGCCACGGCTTCCTCGTGCCTCACATCCTGCAGATTGGTGTTGTTCACCTAGAAGAGTAGAAAGGCCCTGGTATGGGACTTGGGAGAAGGCAAGACCTTCCAGGGAACCCCAAGGAATGCCCTTTCTGTGCAGTTCAACAGTGTTCTAACAGAGGTCCAAGTATAATGCCATGAGGACCCAAGACAGGCAGGAGGCAAGGGTAAGGGCAGGTGAGGGCAGCCCCACCATGGAAAGAACTGGACCTTGATACCTGGGCCAATAAACTCAGATGATATTCTTGAACTTCCCCAAGACTCTTTGCCCTCCAGTGAGGTTTAAGTACAGTGAGAGGGAGCTCCATGTCCTCCTCCCCACCCTACCATTTGGGCATTCCCATGAAGGCTGTCTCACCGCTAGCAACCGGTCCCCAATCTGTAGGCGTCCGTCCTTCTGAGCAGCTCCCCCCTCAATGATCTTGGTGATATAGATGCTATTGTCTCCTGGGATGTGCTGGTTGCCAATGCCCCCAGCAATGCTGAAACCCAGGCCTGGGCAACAGTCAGCAAGGAGAAGTTAGAGTGTTTAGGCCATCCCAAAGACAACTGCCCTCCCCCAGCCATCCCACTGTTCTCCCCCCGCCCCCTGCCAAGAGCTCCCCCAGGGATCCCAAATATTAGGCTGCCACCCTGAGGTCTGTAAGGGTGAGATCCAAAGCCAAGAAAGACAGCTATGAGCTGGAACTGAGGGGAGTCATGCGAAGAGTAAGGCTGATCCCTTCCATTCCCTCTGGGGCCCAGGATGTGGCTAGAGCACAGGAACCTGGAAGGCCTCACCTTTGGGCCCTTTGAGCAGGTTGACCTCCATGATGGTCTCAGGTGGGGGCTGCCGCCTCCGCACCACCAACCGCACCACAGGGCCTGCCTCCTTTAGCGCCTCCACCGCCCGGCTGTGCACCACCTCCGACACGTCCACCTCATTCACCCGCAGCACACAGTCATTCACCCTGCGGGGGAAGCCGGAGAGGCATGACACTGTACCACCGCCCCTCCACCCCCTCTCCCATATCCTTACGCTTCTGTTCCCTCTCCTCCTTCTCCTTCCTCCCCCCTTCCCAGATCTAAGGGAAGGGTCATCCTGCCCCTCCCCTCATCGCCATCCTACCCCTGCCACCTACAACCTTGTTTCCAGACTAGCTTACCCCAGCCTCCCATCCATGGCAGCTGCTCCACCAGGGATGATCTTGGTAATAAAGATGCCAGGGTCATCAGGGACATGGGGGTTGTCGATGCCACCTGCAATACTGAAGCCCAGGCCAGAGTTGCCCTGCAGAAGGGGGTGGAAGGGCACAGTTACACTCTGAGGGCATAAAGGAGGGTTCTGGGCACCCTGTCTCCCTCTGCCTCCCAGAGCAGGTTCTCCAGGTGCTGGGGCACATTCATCAGAAAACTGGTAGTTTCCCAGCCTTGTGATGACCATTCTGGTCAGGAGGCCTCGGCAAACCAATCTCCTCCCCAATTCCTCAGGTCTCAGCAAGCAAAGTCAATTAATATTTGTTAGTGAGTTGATTGACGGATGTGGTGATATGGTTTCTGAGGGCCACTGTTTCCCATCCTCTCAGTGCAGGCTTCCCCATGAGTCCCGAAAGTGCTGTGCAGGGCCCTTGCCACTCCTGGCTCCCCTCTCCTCCTCCTTTTCTTCCCTCCCCACTGGCAGACTCACCCGCTCCAGTACTATCTCCTCATACTTGAACATGCCATCACTGCCATTCACCTGGGGGAAGACACAGTCACTTCCCTCAGTGCTTCCTGCCCTACCAACCATCTGCCCTCCCCACCCCCGTCCGTCAGCCTGCCCCTCTCCCACTCCCACAGAAAGCCCAAGTACACCCCAGGGCACCTCTAGGCCACAGATGGGGACAGCCTGACCCCAAGGGGGCCACTCCCCTCCCCTTGTTTCCAACCATATCAGGTCAAACCCAGCTGCTCATTTAGCCCAGACCAATTGTCTGGGACTGAGCCAGCCAGTGGTGCACTCACCGAAAGGCTGGGCTCCAGGGCCTCGGGGTTCACTAGGAGGGGTGCAGGGCTGGCCTAAGGGGGATGGCAGAGATGGAGCATGGCGGACAAACCGCATCACACCCAGCATCCATAGGGGGACACCCAGAGGCTTGGCCAAAGAACCCTCCCCTTCTGAACCACAGCTCTCCTTGCCTTGGGAATCATAGATTCCCACCATGTCACAGCTGGAAGGACAGCAGACACCATTTTATCCAACTCCCCCACATGACACATGGTGACACTGAGGGGGTGTGGGATGTGCCTGAGGGCACACTGGGAGTTAGTGGCAGAGCAGGGGCTGGAACCTGGCTCTCCAGGTTCTCTTTGGACTAAAGCAAACTTCGTCTACTTGTTCCCTTCCCCTAGCAGAGCTCATAGGAAAAAGGAGAGTTGTCCTCTTAGAGTACCTCAGGAACCCTCATTCTGCACCTCCTTCAGTGACTTCAGGAAGCCAATTTCTCAAATGGACAAGAGTCAAAGTCCTAATCCATTTTCTACCAAAGGACTTTGACCCTGAACCCTTTGTGTATCCCTGGAGAAAGGGCCAGGGTGGGATCCAGTAAGGACTCTGAAGCCAGCCCTGAGGCAGGACAGGAGCAGGGTGAACATAATTTCCCACGAAGGAGAGGCTGATGACCCAGAGACAGATTAACAGCAGAGTCCGTGGTCTTCAGCACACAGGAGCCATGGGAGGAGAGGCAGGGGAGAGGATCAGAAACACAGGGTTGGTTTGACCAAACCACAGAGGTAGCCTCCCATACAGGACATACTTGTGGCCATTTTTCAAGTGAAAATCTGATTCTTGACTGACAAATAGCACCTGCTCCCTATTCCCACTCTCATCTCCAAAAACGAAGGAGCTCTCTTGCCTCTCACCCCAGGTCTCCTGGCACCATCCCCAGTCTTTCTCTGGCTGTGTTGTCTCTTTTCTAACCCCTGTTCACAGAAGAGGAGAACTGGAAGCCCAGGGTGGGGGCCCCTCCGTACATCCTGCTCTGCCTTGCCCTTCCATCCTCTACCCCAACATAGCTTTGCTCCAAGAGGCATAGAGGAGAGGGGGAGAGGGCCAGCTAGTCATGCCTCCCCCATTTCTGGGTCTGGCCCAGACTTCATGCCCTGTAGCTCTGGGAGTTGGTGGGAGGACTTCAGCTGCAGCCTCACCCTGGTCCCTGATCTCAGGAGGAAAAAGCAGATGACTCTTCAGAGACCCCAAAACAACACAGTTGCCTGAAGTACCATGCAACAGACACACAGGCAAAAGGGCATTCATGCGGCTCTTTATGCATCTGGTATGCCGTGTGTGCCCACATGTGACAAGCCATGCTTAAAGCCCAGTTTGAGTGGTACCCAGAGGCACCCAGCTGCCAGTGGTCCACCCTCCAACCTCTGTTCCGTCCTCACTCAGGGACCTTGCTCCCAGGGCCAGAAGCCATCCAGGGATCAGCCGTGGCAAAGAAACCTTAGTCAGCTAGCCCAGCCCTGGGATTGGCACCCGTCTCCGAGTTGGGCAGGACAAGTATGAAAGGGTGTTTGCAAGGGGAGGACCAAAGGACAGAAGAGCAAAGGAGAGACGGGGACTCACTGGAGGTGGCAAGGGACCAAAGCAAGGGGTGAGGGAAGCTGTAAGCATGGACAGACAGAAGGCCAGAACAGAAGACTCCTCTCCTCAGGAAGTCTCCACCTTTGCTTCTGAGCAAGAGCTCATCTTATCCCCAGAGGAGGACAGAGAAGCCAGAATGGTCACCAGCTTGGGGTAGTTAGCACCTGACCTCGGACAGCAAAGCCTCCTCCTCATCTCTCCCCACACTGGGGGCTGCAGAGCTGAATACCAGACAGGCCCTCCGCCATGTGTGCCAGGGACCTGGCTCTGCTGGCCCAGCCTCCATTTTGCTTCTTCTCCCACAGATGCTCCTTCCATTTTCTAAGCTGGCAGTTTAGACTGGGAGTGGAAACCGGAGTTGTGCCCAGCACCCAGGGGCTCCCAAGCTGTGCCAAGTCAGGCTGGGGGAGGGTGCCCAAGAGGAATATGCCCCACCGGGGCCAGTCCTTGCACCAGGGCAGCTGCGAGCCTTGCCTGGTTCCAGTCACCATGCTTTCTCGGAAGGAAGGAAGCTTCCTTCAATCCTCCCTAACACCGCCCCCCCCAACCCCCACCCCCAGCAGCACACACACTTCAGAGCTGCTTGGACAAAAGAGTCTGTCCTTCTCAGCAGCCTCTAAGCCTTGCTTGGGACGTGTCTCTCACCTCCTCCCCCTCCTCTCTCTTGCCTGTCAAGCGCCTCTCACCAGGGACACCACACACACATATATACACACAGAGAAGCACATGCGTGCACACTCTTGCAGCCACATGCTCACACAGATATACATGTAGCCACACACATGCAGGCAAACACAGCTATCCTTGCAGCCTCATCTACAGAGACACTTTGAGGATTTAGAGACAGCCCCACACGTCCATGTCCATGTGCACATTCACACACAAAGGGACTGGGACGGAGAGAGACTCATGGCATCCAGTGATAAAGCTCAGCAAGCCAGGCACATGGGCTTATCTACATAGATTCACAGACGCTCCACTGCCTTTCTCCACACACCCCAACATACATATACACAGATATGTGCCCCCCTACGCAGAGCACCCTGCCCCCGCCTCCCCTCCCGTGGAGACACACACCACACACAACCCCCGCAGAACCTCCCGCCCCCCGCCAGACACAGAGACACTGCCAAACCCCCGCACTGAGAAATCCCGATTCCCCCACACAAAAAAATATGCCCCTCCGCCATACCTTCACCCCCTGACCCACACACAGCTCTTCCCAATCCCCTCCAGATGGAGACCCCTAAACAGACACACAGGGAACCACACATTTCCAACCACTTCTCTTTGCCCAGCTGCTTGGAGCCCCAGCAACTCCTGCTGTACCCCAGGCCTTTAAGCTCCCACTCTCCAGGCCTCCTGGGTTGCCCCACCAGCCCCCGCCCCCACTTCCGATGCTCCATACCTGCTCATACCAATCCCGGTTGGTACAGGTGCACTCAGGCCACCAGCCGGGGCCACTGCCGTTGAGTTTCGGGGTGCTCTTGCCCGGGACTGGCTTAGGGGGCACTGGCCCCACATCTCGACCGGTGGGGATGAGCTTGGCCTTGGTGCGAGGGGTGGGGGTGGCCCCTGCTTGAGAGGGCAGGGTCTGCGAGCTGTAGCCCCCATAACCAGAGCTGGCCCCATTGCCCCCACCTGGCCCGTAGGGGTCGGGCACCTGCCAGTCCCCATAGCCAGGAGGCTCGAGGCGCCGCAGAGCGGCCAGGCGGGTCACTTCATAGCACTCGGGGCACTTACAGCAGTGCTGGTGCTTGTGCATGGCACTGCCCCCCGCGGCTCTGACCCCCCAGCCCACGCCAGTTTCCACGCCGCCGCCGCCACCGCCGGGCTCCCGGGCACACTCACACTGCTCGGACCAGGAAGGGGGGGACACCCGTGGGGGCGCCCGGGCGGAGCGGGGCCTGGGGCCGGGCGGGCGTCCCGGGGCCTCTGCCCCCACGCTGCCCCGCACCCACGGCTCCCCCTCCAGCACTGGCGGCTCCGTGTCGCCCGTCGTGGATCCTGGGCCGAGGCCCAGCGGCAAAGAAGAAGCGGGAGCCCAGGCAGAGGTTGGATGCAGCGAGGACCGCTCCTGCTCTGGTCCCCAGGATGGATCTGAGTGGAGTCAAGAGCATCTCTCCCCGGCTCCCTTCTCAGTTGATTCCAGCCAATCAGAGCGCAGAATCAGGCAGCAGCAGCGGCAGCGGCAGGAATGCTAAACAGCGGCTCCTTAAAGGAACAGCGGCAGAGGCGACCCCAGGCTCAACCCCAGCAGCCCGGGTCTCTGGGGTACCGAAGATCCTGGGGATGGGGCGGGGGACTTGGGTCACCCAAGAGCTCAAGCGCACCATCTCGTGCCCCTATATCCCCAATTTCAGCCCGTCTTCTGCCCACTCCACCCCGCCCCACTTCCAAGAGGGAGTTACAGGGAGATGCTCAATGGGTCCCCGGGCTTGGTGTGAGCTGGGGCCACCAGAAGTAAAGGCTTGAGGTAACAGAACCTACCGAATGGACGTTGGAACAGGGTGAGGGAGGTGCTCTCTCCTCCAGGGGACCAAGGAAAATGGCAACATACAAGGACTGCCCTCCTGTCAGTGCCTCCCCATCCAGACCATTGTTCGTCATCTTCTAGGCCCTGAAATGACTGCGACCTCATGCTTGACCTTCTTACATCACCAGCAAGGACCAGAACAGGCAGTAGCAGAAAACTGCTTATCCTTGGCTCCCACACCTGTCTCCACTCCATCCTCACATGGCTATGTTGAGGGAAGGAGCTTCAGAATGCTAAGAGGAAAGAGTCCAGAACAGGAGGAAAGGTAAGGAGAGATCTGAAGTGAGAGAAACCATTCTGTAGATCTGGAGAAGCACTTGGGAGTACACGTCCATTTACAACTCTTTAGCCTCTCCTGGCTCAACCTGTTGGGGGATAGGAGGGAAAGGATGGTTAGTCAGGAAGACTCTCTCTTTTTGTTGCTTATTTATCTATTTATTTATTTAGACAATCTCTGTATGTAGCCCAGGCTGACCTGGAGCTCATGTTTCTCCTGCCTCAGCCTCCTGAGTGCTGGGATCACAGGCATACACCACTGCACCCAGCTTTTTGTTGTTCTTGTTTTCTCTTTAGCTATCAGTAATTGAATCTTTACAAAGTCTTAAGTGCTTTACATGCAAACAAAAACCCTACCAAGGTCACACTATTATTATCTTAATTTTACCAATGAGAAATAGAAGCTCAGCGATGTTAACATAGTTAGGTAACACAGCTTCAAGTGACAGAATCAAGATGCAAGTCTCTGCCTTTTGACTCCAGAATCCATGCTCTTGTGCACTGTAATACAACTGGTATACTCTTAACTCTCCTGCAGACCTTAGCTCTCAGTTCAATTCAACAAACATTCATAGAGCACCTATTTTGTGCAAGACCTTAACAGTGGTGCCAGGGATACAGAGATTCATCCTTAATTCAACAAATATTCATGCCCAAACACTATTCTTGGGTTTGGGGATATAGCAGCAAACAGAAAAAATAACACAAAATAAACAGAACAAATCCCTGTCCTTGGGTAGCTTACATTCTAGTGAGGGAACACAGGCAAAGACAAGCACAATACATAAGTAAATTACACAGTACATGTGGTGATAGGCGCTGTGGACAAAAGAAAGGGCAGAGCAAGGTCAGACGAATTGACAATGTTAGCAGATGACACTAGATTGTGATTTTTTTTCAAGTTTTTAAACTCCACATTTTAATATGAAGAATCCAAATATACAGAAAAATTTAAGGAATTTTACTGTGAATGCCCAGTTACCCTCCACCTGGATTCTCATGAACATTTTGCTATACTTGCTTTATTGTGTTTATCTTCCACATATCCCTTCAACTTCTTTTTTTTTTGGTGGTCCTAGGGTTTGAACTCAGGGCCTCAAGCTTGGTAGGCAGGTGCTCTTACTGCTTGAGCCACTCTGCCAGTCCTTTTTTGTGATGATTTTTTTTTTGAGCTAGGGACTATTATTTTTTTCCCAGAGCTGGCTTTGAACTATGATTCTCCAGGTCTTTGCTTCCTGAGTAGCTAGGATTACAGGCTTGAGCCAGTGGCACCTGGCTCCACCTCTTTTTGAAGGATAGTCTCACCAGCTACAGTATTCAGGGTTGACAGTTTTTTCTTTAAGCACTTGAAATATGTTGTGACGCTTGCTTTGGCTTCCATGGTTTCTGATGAGAAATTCATTAACATTTGACTTATTTTTCCGTACAGATAAAGTGGTTTAAAAAAAAAAAACAGAAACAAATCTCTTGCTACTTTCAAGTTTTCTTTGTCTTTCGTTTTCAGAAGTTTGATTATGATGTGTCTTGGTATGAAAGAGCACAGTGGAGGGAGTGAAATCAAGTGTGATATATTTGATACGTTGTAAGAACCTTTGTAAATCCCATAATGTACCCCACCCGGCACAACAATAAAAAAAATAAATAAAATTTAAAAAAAGATGTGTCTCGATGTGGCTTTCTTTGGGTTTATTCTGTGTGAGGTTTGTTCAGCTTCTTAAGCCAGGGTGAGAAAGAGAGAGAGAGAGAGAGAGAGAGACTCGGAAACGAAACCCAGGGCCTTGTGCACACTATGCAAGTGCTACCACTGAGCTACACCCCTAGCCCCTTCAACCATTATTTTCTGAGTACTTTTTCCCAAGCACCATCTCTTTCTCCCCTCCTTCTGGACCTCCCACAAAATAAATATTAACATTTTTGCTACAGACCCACATGACCCAGAGCGCTGTTCATTTTTTGTCTATTTGCTCAATGTTGTTCAGATTGGGTACTTTCTAATGTCCTATCTTCAAGTTTACTGATAATTTCCTCTGTCCCCTCCATCCTGCTAGTGAGCCTCTCCACTGAGTTTTTTTTTTTTTTAGTTTGCTTATTGTAGTCTTCTGTTCTAAAATTTCTATTTGATTCTTCATTTTATCTCTTATTTCCTAGCCAAAACTTTGCAAATTTTAAAATTGTTTCAACCTTGTTTATAATTGCTTGTTGAAGTACCTTTTAATGTTGGCCACTTTCAGCCTTGTCAGATAATTGATACCTCTCTGTCATCTCAGTATTTGGCATCTATTGATCATTTTTCATTCAAGTGGAGGGTCTGCTGATTCTTGGTAAGTTGTATTTTTATGGGAATTTTTATGAGACTCTAGACTTTATTTAAATCTCTTATTTTTGGTAGGGATTCAAGTCCAAGTTCTCCCACTGGCTTCAGTTGATATGTGAGGCAGGGGCTTCTGGGTAGGATTGGAGATTCTAGCTTCCTACTAGGCTTCTGCTGATGCCCCCCTGTCTGGGAGAGTTTGAAGTGACTCTTTACTGTTTCCCAGGCAGGCATCCATTGGTGCCACAGACAGGAGGTGGAAGATGTTGGGGAGAGAAGGAGGGGGAGGACAGAGACCTCAGAATGCTTCCTTGTGGTAGACAGTTTTGACTTTCCATTAGGCCCCTCCTGACACTCTTAGACCAGCCAACAGGGAGGGGACCTTGTTACTCTGGGAGGATGGGAGTCCAGGATCTCTACCTAACCTCCTCTGATGCCACCCCAGGGAGAGTCAGAGGAGCCTGCACAGAAGAAAGTCTGGATTCTCTGCTTGGCCTTTGCTGGCTTGGGTGGAGACGAAGTTTTTTCTGTGGTGTTCGCTTGTGGTAGTTATTGTCTAAGAGTTTTCTTTCTGGCTAAGCAGGTCTTTTGGCCAGAGAGAGCAGCCTTTTATTAGGACATTTCTACTCCTATCTGTTTGAAGTGGCATTTCCAAGCTGCTGGTTTCTTCAGCACCCAGAGTGGGATATATGAGACAATAAGAAAACTCAGGAAACTTACCACCATGAGTTTGGGTCGCTGGGGTTCAAAGGCAGTCTGCCTTTTTCTCCTTTCAGAAACTTATGTTTGTCTTACATGTGATGTCCAGGGTGTTAGCTGTACTTAGTGTGAGGAATGGGGAAAAGGTGCCTATTTCAGAGGGCTCTAGTCCTCCATCTATCTTTTTTTTTCAATCAACTATGTTGACCTTTTTTTTTTTAACTTTTTTTGGGTGGGACTGGGGTTTGAACTCAGGGCTTCGTGCTTGCAAAGCTGGCACTCTACTGCTTGAGCCACACCACCAGCCCATTTTGCTCTGGTTATTTTGGAAAGGGGAGTCTCACAAACTATTTGACTGGGCTGGGCTTGAACTGTGATCCTCTTGATCTCAGTCTCTCAAATAGATAGAATTACAAGTGTGAGCCACCAGTACCTGGCTCTAAGTTGACTTTTTGAAGAATACAAGTCAGTTGTTTTATAGAATATCCTATATTCTGGATTTGTTTGTTTTTTATGTTGTCATTTATCTTGATAGCTTGACCTCTGGGAGAAGTTGGCATTTGAGCAAAGACTTGAAGGAGGTGAGGAAGTGAGCCACACAGAACAATAAACCTAGCAAGGGAACAGCTAGTGCAAAGGTCCTAGGTAAGAGTACACCTGCTATGTTCAAGAAACAGAAAGGAGGACCAAGTGGCTGTAACAGGGTGAAGGAGAAAGAGAATACCAGGAGATAAGATCAGAAATTTAATTAGGGATCAGATTGTTTAGGGTCTTGTAGACCATTGTGAGGATTTTTGTTTTACTCTTAGAGAGATAGGGAGCCATTAGAGGGTTTTGTGTAGAGAACTGACATGACATGATTTGCTTTTATTAGGATTGGTCTGAAGGTTCGAGACCAGCTTTGTGGACCACAAAGAAGGCAAGGGTGGAACTAGTGAGAATAGTCAGGAGGCTACTGAAGTGATGATCCAGCTGAAAGGTAGTTGGATCAGAGCAGCAGCACTGGAGGTGATTAGTGGTTGGATTCTGGGTATATTTGGAAGGGAAAGCTGACAAGATTTGATGATGGATAGGATACAAAGTATAGTTCCAAGGATTTTCTTTTTTTGTGGACTGGGGTTTGAACTCAGGACTTTGCACTTACAAAGCCCGTAGTATACCACTTGAGCCACATCTCCAGTCCATTTTTTTGCTCTGGTTATTTTGAAGATGGGGTCTTGAGAAGTATTTGCCCAGGCTGGTCTTTGTAAGAAAAATTATCTT